GGCAACTGTGGACAGCTGTTTCGCCCTTTTTGGGGCTCATCAGCACAGTGCACCGATGATGAGCTTCCACATACCAAGAATAGATATACTATAGAAGACAGTGTGGTGGATGTGGGACACTACAGAACTTTATATACTACACATTATATATATATATATATATATATATATATATATATATATATATATATATATATATATATATATATATATATATAGACAGTATTAACAGTTTAGAAGCCGGAAATGCGGCGTGCGTGGACACTTCCAGTGAAACGAACTCATGTTGTAAAAACATTAGGGACGAGAGGGAGCGTGCGAATGGAGATTGTTATATAGGGCGAGATATTAAACAAGTAAAAAAGGAAAGAGATTGTTAACTAAACCTGTGTTTATAAAACTGTGAATTGTCGTAAACACAACAGGAGGCAATTTACGACAACGCAAGTTAATCCGATTTTCCACTAGGTGGAATTTTGCGCACGGAGCGGAAGTTTTATTTGTCTTTTCTAATTAGTTCCACCCAAGACATCACAAGATAACCACGCGCAAAATTAGTGGAAAACCGGCAAATGGCAGACCGAGATTTGTGATGATGTAGAGAAGCCAGGTCATTGTACCATTTGATTCATTTTTATTGTTGAGAACTTTTGAAACCTATATGCAATTCAATTCATTGTTGTTAATAATCTTTAATAAGAAATTAAATTAAATTGGTATTGATTATTAAAATCAATAATAATCAACCGTTCAGCTTCAGTGAACACGGTATCAAAAAGTTGTATCAAAATACATTTAATTTCACCACATTATATGATATTAATAAAAATGTGAGTTTTATCTGTTGAATGAATCTTTTCGCATCCGATTCCAAGCAAAAATGACCAACTACACGATTTTCAATTCAAAATTCCCTGTCGAAATCCCTTTTGCCACCTTTGTGCATAATTAAAACCACTCTCTACAAAAGAAAAAGCAATGACCATTTATGCGTCTTGCCTAAGGTTAAAGTTACTGTATCCGGGAGGTGCCTGCACCGACCGACAAAGCAGCATTGCAACTGCATTTGTAATACCTTTGCAATAAAGTTCCTACCGCAATTCGCAGATACTACCAAAGCAATCAGAGAGCTCGTGCAGCAAGATATTGAGTAGACATGGGATGAGTGGAAATCATTATTTTTTAACATTACAAATGAGAGGCTATTAATTAAAAATTGCCTGAAAATTTGACAAGGTTGTTACGGAGTGAGGTCACCAAAACGTTGTTTCATTTGCGTTATGGATTAGCTGAACACCTTTGACTCTTATATTCTCTAAATCAAACTTTTATTTGTAGAAAAAGTTATATTTAGAGCTAGTATTCACTAGAAAAATTAATGCCAAAAATCCCAGAAGGGGCCGAAGCAATTTATCCTGCGGTAGTTCGAATAAAGTTTGTTTATTATCATGTGCCTCCTTCGCAATATACTACAACAAGACTCCCGCTAGGCGTTAACCTCGGGTCAGTGGATAGGGCATCGTCTGGTGAATATGCAAAAATTGTGTAAATCACGATAGTTTATAATAGTTCACTAGTATAAATGGTGAATCAGTCGATCAAAGCTCCGTTTAAAAAATTTAATTGATAATAGTTAAATACAGGAACAATTTAGAGAATTTACTGACGCAATTATTTAACTGTATTTATTCATTATTTGGGATATTTTGTGGACGAGTGAATGATATGCATAGCTACTTCACTACATCTTGTATTTAGTAACATTAACAGACAATATTATCAGTCTATTTGTTATTGAACATAGCAGAACGACAGTCACTTAAGATATTTTTAAAATATATCAAATTACCGAAAATATAATTACCGTATTTACTCGTTTGAGCGCCGCTCCCGATTGAGCGCCGCCCCCGAATGAGCGCCGCATTTGAGATCAATTTTTTTAAAAGAGCGCCGCCCCCGAATGAGCGCCGCACTAAACGGTGTAAAAACTTTCAGCCGTCAGAATGGGGACATTTAGTAACAAAAACCTTTTAAAACGTGTCTATTTTCTAGTTAAAAGTTTTGTCATAATTCACAAATAAAATATTTTTTAAAGAGCGCCGCCCCCGATTGACCGCCGCCCCCGAATGAGCGCCGCATCTGAAGCTCTGAAAATTTAAAGAGCGCCACGGCGCTTAAACGAGTAAATACGGTAGGTGCATATAACTGATCCATCATTAGTAATAGTTGTACCACAGTCGGAGAATGTAATGAGTGGACAGTTGGCAAAATTGTTGTCTACCAGTTACAGTAAGAACCATCCATAAAATGCTTAGCAGTATCAAACAAGTGAAAGTTGGCCCAGGTATTCCCATGCTATGCATATGAAGTATTGTACATTATATCAACATATACTCGAGAATAGTTATCCAGCTAAACATGTATGTCAAAATTATCATATCTGCTGGTTTTAAATCAACAATTTTGACGGATTTTGTGCAAAGACAGCTTCGGGTTCCGTTTCGCTTTGGCCGATGCTTGAAATTTCCCGGAAGTACACTTATTTACCGGAAGTTGTCGTCTCCTCCGCAGGCTCTTCGACTACGCGCGCGGCTCGACACAAAATGGAAAAGAAAAATAGGAGCCGAATTTATGACCTCGGTGTCGTACCGACCCGAGGTAATAAACGTTTAGCGGCGGGGGGGGGGAGGGGTGCATGGGATATGCTCCCCGGGAAAAATGTTTCAATTCTAGAGTCGGTAAAATGCTGATTTTAGGGGTTATTTTATCGTATTTTATAACCATTCAAAACATAACACCTCTACTCAATCACAAACGAGTCCAGAACATGTAAAACATAGCTAGCAATTAAATATGCTGGAAGTGGGACCAGGAATGAACATAATGATTTTTGAGACGTTCTCTTGTGGGAAATATGTATTATTATTATTATATGGCAAGCATTTGTTTTGACGAATCGTGCAATTTGATTGGCTGCTGACGAGGCAGGATTTTCCCGTATTGCCCAAGGGCAATATACGCAATTTTTATTACCCTACGACGAGAGCCGAGTTTCAAACAGCAAAAAGTGTCTAAAAGTCTTTCAAAACTATTCAAAACGAAGAAAAATAAACCTAAACTAAAGAAAAGGAGCAACTGCTGTGGTAGCCTGCTCACAGGCTCTATTATATAGAGCCTGCGACTTTTATTGATATTTTTTCAATACACCCCCTTTGACATAATTAATTGAATATCCGGTAAATAGTAGCCAATCAAAGCAAGTTTTGTTAATTAGATTACCAGAGGTTATTAACAACAACAAAAAGTTTCTCGCGCAATTTTACGCCTGTATCTTTCACTAGGATTCCAAGGTCTAAACTTTAATCTAAAATAATTCATGGTCGTTTTTCCCTAAAGTGTTCTAATATTTAAAACATAGTCCCGTTTGTATATTGCTGTCTTGTTCGTACATTGCCGTTTTAAATTATGTAACTATACTACAGAGACGTAAAATTTTACTCTCCATAAGTTAATGTATTTTATAATGTTATGTTATTAGTCTGTCTATTATGTTACAAAAACAACCCTTATATACATGAATCTAATTAGCATGCATATATACTGAATATATTACAATTCTCTTTTTTTTTTAATTTTAAAGTTATTTAAAATTGTATAAGGTCTCTAATTAAACTAAGTGTCTATTACTGTTCGATGATAATACTTAATAATACTAGTTCACGACTAATGTTCATTATATATAACCATTATATATTTAACTTAATAGTCAATCTAAATCTAAATCTAAATGTCTCGTGAATAATATGTTCATCATAACTTTAATTAACTAAATTAACATGCTTGATATCTCTCAGGTGGCTTACTCAATCGTCCGCTTCTAGTTTTATAATATTGTTCAGTACTTGGCTCTGAGACTTGTTCCTCACGAACTTCTCTGGCACTATCAGGCTGGAAATTTTCAGTTGGTTCCCACTGTCTTGATATCTGAACACCATACTTCTGCTTTCTGATATGATTTCTGTTTCTTCTAAATCGTTGACCATTGGGTGTTTGAATGATGTACGATCTAGGTGTTTCCAGTTTCTCTTTGATCACTGCTGGTTTCCACTTATTCTGTACTTGGACTCGTACTGCTTCTCCTTCTTGCAATGCGGGAAGCTCCGTGGACCCTCTGTCATAATATCGTTTTTGCTTTCTTTGTTTTTCTTCGAACTTTTCTTTCATTCTCTCAGGATCAACAACTTTTGGCTGAAGTTGATTTGGCGTAGTTGGTAAGTGCGAACGCAAACGTCGGCTCATCAATATTTGTGCTGGTGAAGCTACGTTACCAATGGGTGTGTTGCGATACTCCAACAAACTTAGGTACGGATCTTTTCCATCTTGTTTTGCTTTCGATAGCAAACGTTTCACAATTTGAACTGCTTTCTCAGCCAAACCGTTTGATTTCGGATAATATGGACTTGAAGTCTGGTGCTCGAAATTCCACTTTTGTGCGAACTGCTTGTACTCTGTGGCAGTGTACTGAGGACCATTGTCACTTCTTACGACTGATGGAATTCCATGTCTTGCAAATATGGACTTCATATGATTCACAACAGTTCTGCTGGTGGTGTTTTCCAACTTGACTACTTCAATATAACGCGAATAATAATCTGCCACGACCAGATAGTTGTTCTGTTCCCACTGAAACAAATCAGTTGCGACCATTTCCCAGGGTCTCGATGGTATTGTTCCTTCCACCATGGGTTCTTTGGGATTCGACATCTGGTATTCTTGGCAGGTTTTGCATTTGGATACAACAGCTTCAATTTGCTCATTCATTCTTGGCCAAAACATAATGTCCCTTGCTCGTCGTTTGGATTTCTCTATACCCATGTGACTCTCGTGTATTCTTTCTAGCATCTTTCCTCTCATACTGAGGGGTATGATAATCTTGTCTTGCTTCAACAAGATTCCATCTACTTCTGAAAGCTCGATAATTCCAGTAGTCCTGGATTTCGCAAGGTGTTTGTTTTCTTGTCTCTGGCCATCCCCTTCGGATTGTTGAGAACAGGGTCTTCATGGTCTGGTCAATCGCTGTTTCTTTCTTGATTTGTTCCAGTCGTTCTTCGGATACTGGCATTCTGCTGGTTACCGTGTGCACGTAACATTCTAACTCTTCGTTCATCTTGCTACTGTCCACATCATCATCGGTAAGGTAAGCTCGAGAAAGTGTATTCGCGATGATCATTTCTTTCCCAGGTCTGTATTTCAATGTAAAGTCGTACCGTTGCAACCGTAATAGCATTCTCTGCAGACGAGGTGGCGCTGACGTTAACGACTTCTTCACAATTGAGACCAACGGTTTATGATCAGTTTCAACTTCTACAGCTCTGGCATATGTGTACTGGTTGAACTCCTCGAGCGCAAAAACAACTGCCAATAGTTCTTTTTCGATCTGCGCATACCGAGTTTCCGCATCTGTCAGGGCTCTCGAAGAAAACGCGACTGGTTTGTCATCTTGAAGTAACGCTGCTCCAAAACCGCTCTTTGAAGCATCACACGTCACCGTCACAGGTTTCTTCACATCATAGTATGCAAGAACTGGCGCCTTTGTTAGTATTTCTTTTACTTCTTGGAACGCTTTCTCCTGTGCACCTCCCCATTGAAACTCCACGCCACTTTTCATAACCTCTCTAATCGGCTGCATTATCGTGGACATGTTAGGTATAAACTTTGCTAGATAGTTCACTGTACCAAGCAATCGTTCAGCTCCTTTCTTATCTTCGGGAGGGGGCATCTGCTTAATGGCTTTAACCTTCTGCTCATCCGGTTTCACATCTTCTCGGGTTAACTTGTGACCGATGTGACTTCTTTCACTCGAAACTCGCATTTCTCTTTGTTGAGAGTGAGGTTGATCTCTTCACATCGTTGTAGGGTATTCATCAGACGTTCGTCGTGCTCTTCGACTGTGGCTCCCCAAACCAAAATATCATCCACATCTGTTTCCACGCCCTCGAGATCTCCAAAGGATTGACACATTCGTTTCTGGAATACTTCTTGCGCAGACTTGATTCCAAATGGCATCCTTTTATAACAGTAACGACCAAATGGTGTGTTGAATGTGGTCAGCAATCGGCTCTCTTCATCTAGTGGTATTTGCCAATAGCCATGATTTGCGTCCAGTTTGGAGAATACTCTGGCTCCGGCCACACGCGTCGTGATTTCCTCTATTGTTGGCATCTTGAAGTGTTCTCGCTTGATAGCTTCATTGAGTGGTCTTGGATCAAGACAAATTCGTAGTTTGTCACTGTTTGGCTTCTCTATAATCACTGTCGAATTCACCCACTCGGTTGGACCATCGACTTTCTCCACGACTCCCTTTTCTTCCATATCGTCTAGCGAAGACCTCAGCCTCTCTC